TACCTCCTGTTCATCTGAGACTTACTTCCTCAGCTCAGATCAATGTACTAAACATCTGTTTCTTCAAGGTACTACAGGAGCCTGGAAAATGAGAGAGACCAAGCTGGCTTGGGCTCTTGACACTTGGATGGTTCTTTAGCCGTGCCAATTTCAGGTCTTCCCCAGTAGTACTCACTTTGACTCGTTTCAATATTCCAGTGAAAGGGCAAGAAAAACTATAACATTTCCCAAGACTAGATATAAATTTGAATTAATAAAGCTGGTTAGAACCCTTCCATGATGTTTTTGTTTAAAAATAAAGCAGACTCAAAATAGTAACTTCCATTTTCACGTGACTAACAAATAGCAATTGTGGATTTTAGATCTTGGTACACTACATTCCTCCTGGAAATAGATCGGAATAAGTCAAATATCAGGAGTTCTGAGAAACAAAGGTCTCTGATTTGGGCTCCAGTCTCACTTGACAGACTATGGGGGAAAAAGTTACACTTAAAACTCTTCATTCTGGGGTGGTAAGGAAACGTACGCAGTGTTCTGGGTCCAGAGGTAGAAGGAAAACTACACGATATTTCACAAAATGCTCAAGACAGTCTCTGTGGTGTGTAGAAACAGGCAAATGTTTACTTAAAACTTGCAGTTCAGTAAGGAAGGAAATCTAAGACAGCTTTTTAAAAAGGGAAAAGGAGGCCAAGTGCGATGGCTCATGCCTGTAATCCCAGCACTTTGGGAGGCTGAGGCAGGCGGATCACCTGAGGTCAGGAGTTTGAGACCAGCCTGACCAACATGGAGAAACCCTGTCTCTACCAAAAATACAAAACTAGTTGGGCATGGTGGCACATGCCCGTAATCCTAGCTACTTGGGAGGCTGGGACAGGAGAAGCACTTGAACCTGAGACAAGAGCGAAACTCCATCTCAAAAAAAAATATATTAGCTGGGGTTTGTGGTGGGCACTTGTAATCCCAGCCGCTCAGGAGGCTAGGGCAGGAGAACTGCTTGAACCTGGGAGGCAGAGGTTGCAGTAAGCTGAGATCGCGCCGTTGCACTCCAACCCGGGCAACAAAGCGAGACTCTGTCCCCAAAATAAAAAAAAATAAAAAATAAAAAAGGCAAAAGGACAGTGACCTGTGTCTACCCCAAGAGCCAGCTAGAACAGCTTGCCTGGTGGTAGAACAATAGTCTTGCAGGCAATGGCAGGCAAAATTCCCCTAGGCAGCTGTAAAACACTGGACCGACCGCTAAAGCTCCTATTACTCTCTAGGCTTGGGACCCAGGCAGCCGTAAATCATGACAACCATCAGTGCGCTGTGGAGTGAGATCATCTGCAGGGATTCCTTAATGAAACGTGATGACTTCTCTGGCACTCCAGCAATTGGGGTGTGCTGAGGACACCACATTTTTCTCAGGAGGCCAGTTATCAGCTTTTCCACATGTTCTCCTAAACTAGCAAACAAAACAGCCCAGGTGGCACCATGACACCGACCTCAGGACTGTGCTGAGCTAGCTAGATAGCTTGCTTACTTTTCCTTGTTAAGTTCTGGTTAAAATGCACTGTACCAACTGCTTATTAAAGTCTTAGCGTGCATCAAGCAGTTGCAGGCACCAAGGAAACAAAGACAGAAAGGATTCTCTTGTTTGCATGAATTCTGCTCCTGAATTCACAGTCCAATAAGTAAATGCGTCTGAGTCAAAATCAGACTTCCTTTTAAAAACAAATATGGCCAGCCAGGTGTGGTGGCTCACACCTGTAAACCCAACACTTTGGGGGGCCGAGGCAGGTAGATCACATGAGGTCAGAAGTTCAAGAACAGCCTGGCCAACATGGTGAAACCCCGTCTCTACTAAGAATACAAAAAAATTAGCTGGGCGTGGTAGTGCATGCCTGTAACCACAGCTACTCGGGAGGCTGAGGCAGAAGGATTGCTTGAATCCAGGAGGCAGAGGTTGCGGTGAGCTGAGATTGTGCCACTGCACTCCAGCCCAGGTGACATAGTGAGACTCTGTCTCAAAAAAAAAAAAAAAAAAAAAGAATGTGGCCCTTCTTCGTTCTCTCAGGGCTGGGGATGTGTGGAGGGGCGTGTCCACAAGCAAGGCCTAATGGCACGTGTGGATAACCTGATGGAGTTGGCCCCAGGATGTGCTTCCCCCTTTATATTCATGTAGGAATAACTGCTATACTTTATACAGTTTATATTGTCCCATTAAATTCTAACACTGTTATGGAATTTTTTGGTGAGAATCACTCTCCCCATTTCAGTTGACACTAAGAAAGATCAAGAGACTTGCCAAGCCCACCAAGTTAGTTCATAGCAGCATCGAGATTATAAACCAAGTTCTCTGATTCTCATCCCAAAGAAATAGAGAACTTGGTTTATAATCTTACTGCTCTGCAAGACCTCCCCTGGTGACAGATGGTTCACCTACCTGTTCTTGAACTGCTTCTGTCTGCGCTCAATTTTTCTTACCCATACCTCCAGCCTGCCTTTGCCTCAAACTTCCCATCTCCATGAAGGCCAATCTTCTGCTTTTCCTAAGCCAATGGTGGTAAGTCTGGTCTCCAGACCTGCAGCATCAGACTCACCTGTGAACTTGTTAGAAACACAGATTCTTAGGCCTCACTCCAGATCACTCAATGAGAAATTCTGAGAGTGGAGTACAGCAATCCGAGTTTTCATGAGCTTTCCAGGGATTCTGCTGTATGCTAAAGCTAGAGAACCCCCTAAACTAAGCTAAAAAGCTAGGTACCTCTACAGTCCCTGTGTGGCCCCACCATGATCACCGGGCCCCACAGACACAAACTCCGTGACTAGAGAAGAAAGCCATTTGTCTGGCACCATGCAGCAGTGAAAATATGCAGTCACCTCCACTAAAATTTTTCAGGGCCAGCTTAGGCAAAAGCTTGAGGCAGGAGGTAACAGGCCTCCCCTTTGTGGTCTACCCTTCATAATGATGGCCCCTTTTCCTCAATCAGTGCAACGGCATTTAATTCAACCCCTCCCACCTCATCAGACCCAGCTCTTGACTCTTAGATTAGAAGCCCACCACAATGGGAGTGGATGTGTTGATACATAACCCTCTTCCCTAACCATGAAATGTAATGAAAGGCTCCAAGCTCTGTTCAAGAGGGTAGATAAGGGGTACTTCATCTAAAGTAAATGCTAACAATAAAACGTGAACTATGCAATTGTGCTGCTTTCTACAAATTACAGAACGCTTCCATAACTCTCATAAGGATCACAAAAGCTACTTTTGAAACAGACACTAGAACCCAGGACTCCTGATTCACTCCCCCAGGGGCCTATCTACTGTAACATGCCAGACATATAAATTCTTGTTAGTCATCTAATGGGGCTATTATAAAAGTTCTGGTCACTCTGTAAGGGCAGGGGTCCATGTCACCAGAGCACACTGCCACATAGAAAGAATTTCTTTGTTGCAAACCCAGGCCATTAGAAATAATGCAGAGACACATGGTTAAACAAAGGATAACTTCCTGAATCCAAAGCATCAAGTTTACTGAAAAGGGCAGGGGACAACCTTTATGGTCTGACTTTTCTTTGTGGAGTTCTAACCATCCTCTTATCTACTCCCTTGACTGGCTAACAGGTCTGTAGTCTTCTCTCAGAAGAATGAAAGGTGGTCATTCTCTTATTGTTTTAATGTCTACTGCAGCAACATTTGGAGGAACAAAAAAGACCCGCAGAGGTAGAACTGAGGTTCCCGCACAATCACTCTTTGCCCATCAATATGGAATTTATGTTGAGTTCTAAAATGCACAAAAATTGCATTTGAAAAATGAGAAGCTTTCAGAGGTCGGAAGTGCGCGCACACACACACACTCTTCCATATGTTCCAGAGAGGTGGAAATATGCACAAGAAGAATCTGATGACCCTCCCATTCTGCCTCCTTTATTTTCATTTCTTAGAAACTCTTTCTATTGGAACATCCCTTCCCATATTTATTTATATCCAGGGATAGATTCCTGGAGAAGAGAGAGGGAGTAAGATTCACAAAAGATCTAATTTGGAGCACTAATAATTACAGCAGCTGAAAAGCATATGAAAGCAAAGAGCCCTGTTAACAAAACACTATCAGGGCACTTCCCAGAAAACAGCCCAGCGATGAGATTACTACTAAAAATAATGAAGACAAGAAGAGCCAAAACCAAATCTCAACTATGCAGACAGACTTGCAGAATTTTTCACCTTCACTGCTACAATGAGCATTTTTTAAAAAGAGCAGTAGACTGCATGAGTTGACAAAGGAAGAAAAACAAAAGATAGCAAGAGACTCATCCTGGACACCCAGTTTCTATTCTGTATTCATAACTCTACACCAGCAACAGCAGCTCAAATAAGGCACAAGGTGGGGTCCTGGACAAATTCACACATGATCAGACCAATTATCCACGCTGCACTTCTGCACACAGTAAACACCCCTGACCTGCACCACCTCTGCACCTCCCACCCCCATGACCGGGATAAACCCCACCATACCCTGAAAAGAACCCTGCTTTTTTTGTGAGAACCAGCCAGAGCCTAAGCTGTCATTACACAGCAAAAACCTAGCGAGAACAAAAAGCCAGCAGCAGACTGATGTAGAAAGCCCAGAACATACCTGAATTCTTCAAATGCAAACATGACCTAGTAAAAGCCAATTTCCTTAGATTGTGTGGTAGTCTTTTTGGTATGGAGGACAACCATTTAGTTAGTCAGATGGTGCAAAGTGCAGAAAAAAGAGGCGGGGTTTCCACACCCCCCAATATTCTGAAGTAAAAGGCTTTCTGCAGACAGGGGCCTGCAGCCTCCAGCTCCGCCAGCTGCTGACAAGCAGCAGCTAACAGGGGAGGCAGCTAGAAAACCATGTGATCATTCCAGCAAGTCTGATTAATGCAGTGTATGCTTAGGCTCCAGGCTGGGAACTGGATTAGTCTAGAGAAAGAAGTCGAACCCAGGGCATGCCTGGGATCCTGGGTAAAGCATGTAACACAACCCGCCCCCCACCAGAACTGTGCAGGTTGGGGAGAGAGGAGAGAAGGTTGAAAGGAATGTGATTGCAACCTGTTCCGCTGTGATCTGCCTAATTACCTCACCTTCCTGTGGCTGCTGCTGCTGTAAGATCAGGCATGACCAACATTATACGTGAACGTAAGTACTGAAAAATTCTGCAGAATTCTGTATTTTACCATTCCATTATCAAACATTATTTTAGCACAGATGCATAATCTGTTTCAGAATCACAAAAGTCGCATTTTATGTCCACCACTTTACCATGACCACCGTGACTTTACATGTCACTCCTTATTACTGATCTAATTTGATTATTCATTTATCGAGTATATAATATGTACCAGGTTCTCACCAATTCCTTGAAGTACAAAAATTGCTATAATCATTTCAGAAGAGAAGAAAAAGGAAACGAGATGCCAGCCCCCAAAAGAGAAATGTTTATCAGGCTGGCAAGATTTGGCAAATGAGCTGAGGCTGTATTCTGAAACTTGCCATGAAGGAAAATCTTCAGCATTCAGGTTGCAACTCTTTGTGAAATAAGCAAGACAGATCTCAAATAAAAACCTGTGAGTCACTCTTGACTTTTTCTCTCTCCCTTGCACCACCGTGTCATCAGTCACTAACTATAATCGACCTGGAAAAGGTGGCCTGAACCTGCCCCTTTCCCCTCACCCAGCCACGCAGCCTGGGTATGCCCTCAGGGTTCCTCACTCAGGCTTTGGCCTTAGGAAAATTGCCCTGGTTGATTTTTAGAGAAGGGGTGGAAGAAGGAAGACCAGTTACTAATTCTGATTTTGATGCCCCTGTTTAACCCTGCATTATAATTCCTCACAGCTCAAGAAATAAAGCTTTTTAAGCCTCATCATGACATACAAAGTCTTATTTCTCCAATTCTTTCTTCCACTAAAACTCTTCACAAACCCTCAAATTCAGTCAGACATTCACAGTTCCCAAAATCTGTCAGGACCTCCTTTCTCGGGCCCATGGACCAGCTGGGTAAGGTTCTTCGCTGCTCCCTAATGTGAGCTGCTGCCCATGTGCTGCTCCCTCACTGCTCCCTCTCCAAGGGGCTGAGATTCCCACAGGGCGGTTCACTGCTCTCTCTCCTTGGCTGCCATCTGCATGGCATCTGACATTCTGTTTGCCTCTCCTGCAAATCTCAGAGTTCCTTGAGGACAGGAATGTGTGAAGTTAATTTCTGTATTCCCAATGCCTGGCACAGCACTTGACGAAAAGGAATTATTCACATAAGATTTGTGGAATGAACCTCTTTTGCCTCAGCTTTTATTAGGGAAAAGAGTGATCCAGTACATGCATTCGCACGAAGGTGCTCTGGGACAAATGTATCACTCTTCATACAGTTATCTCTGTCTCAAAGAGAAGCAAGAGAGTCCAGGTCTTGACTCAAAGAAATGCAGTGACAAAGGCCAAATGAGGTAGACTGATGAGTGAGGGAGGTGTCTGGGGGAATCCTGTGGTCCCTCAAACCACACAGCAATCACCTAAGCTGATCTGAAATGTCTTCTGCAGTATTCCCGACCAGCCTCTCCCTGAGACCTTCTGGTGATGGCAGCCTCTTGGCAGAATCGTAACAGCAAACACAAAATATTCAAGTCAATAAATAACTCAGTTTTAAGTCCCAGATCTGCCACTTACTCTGTGATCATTAACAAGCTACTTAAATTCCCTGGGCCGTGGATTTACCCTATGTAAAACCAGAATAATATTGATACTGCCTGTGCCTCTCTCATAGGAGTGCTGCAAGAAGCCAATAAAGTAGGAGTTGGAAAGTTCTCTATCAAATATATTAAGTTATATAAATATCTTCATCAGCTTTATGATCTCACAAGATGATCTCTTACTGGACAGCTCTGATGACTGGGTGGTTCTTCCTCATGAAGAGACTACTACTCCTTGGAAGTATTCTGTCTGCTCAACGGGTGGCTCATTTAATTTTGTGGAGACCTCTAGACTCTCTGCCTGCTTTCCACCAGTGACTCAAGACTCTCCTTTTGCAGGTATAACCAGCACCTTTCAGAGCAATTCATAAGGTCCTGGTAGAAGGCAGTTGGTAGAAATGGTGAAAAATCAAATCCCAGCACCAAGCTCATTTTACGCCTAGTATTAAGAGATTCTCCCAATTTACTAATAAGGAGACGGAGGCCAAACTGGTTAAGGAACTTGTCCAGGGTCATACAGCTATAAGTGGCAGAGTAATGACATGGACTCTGGCTGAGCTAACTCCAACATGCTCTCCTGGTGTCCTTATACCAATGATCCAACCAGCTCAGGTTGCCTCCAGAAAAGGACTCATTTGATAAACTGTCAGGCAGCCTGTGGCCCTGCAGAGGCGGTGGGACACTAATCCTTTTGGGCTATTTTATGTAGCTGGCCAGGTGAATCCCCAAATTTCATGGCCAAGCAAGAGACCTGCAAGGGCTAAAAAAAAAAGTGCCTCAACTGTTCCAGGAAGTGAGAGGTAGACACCTCAGCTGACATGGCATTGGGGTCCAAATGGGAATTGACTCTGCTTCAAAGGCTAGAAATCCTCAACCACTTGATAACATCAAAGAGTCAGAAACAGAAATATCAGTGAGGGTCCGTGACTCCTGAAAACTCAGCTCCACTCCTGTCTGCAATAGGGCTCAAAAAGGCACTTCTGTGACCACATAATGTGTTTTGTTGTTGTTGTTGTTTTTGTTTTGTTTTTTGAGACAAGCTGGAGTACAGTGGCACAATCTCAGCTCACTGCAACCTCTGCCTCCTAGGTTTAAGTGATTCTTGTGCCTCAGCCTCCCGAGTAGCTAGGATTACAGGTGCACGCACCACACCCAGCTAATTTTTGTATTTTTAGTAGAGATGGGGTTTCACCGTGTTGGCCAGGATGGTGTTGATCTCCTGACTTTGTGATCCACCCACCTTGGCCTCCCAAAGGACTGGGATTAACAGGCGTGAGCCACCGTGCCTGGCGTTTTTTGTTTTTTTTTGTGTTTTTTTTTTAAAGGCATTCCAAGCCATTCACCAACAACTCAGGCTCAGATAATGCACATTCCTACTCTGGGACTTAATTTCCCTTTGTACCATGAAAGAATAGCCAGATGCTAATTTTTTTATTAATAAATAAGTAGTTTTTTTTGTTTTGTTTTGTTTTGTTTTGAGACAGAGTCTTACTCTGTCACCCACACTGGAGTGCAGTGGTACAATCTCAGCTCACTGCAACCTCTGCCTCCCAGATTCATGTGATTCTTGTGCCTCAGCTTCCCCAGTAGCATGCACCACCATGCCTAATTTTTATTTTATTTTATTTTTAGTAGAGACAGGGTTTCGCCATGTTGGCCAGGCTAGTCTCAAACTCTTGGCATCAAGTGATCTGCCCACCTTGGCCTCCCAAAGTGTTGGGATTATAGGCATGAGCCACTGTGCCCAGCCAATAATTGTCTTATTTTTAAAAATAATACTTCCATGGAACCCTAATATGTACAACTGATCAAGGTAGAATAGTTCTAGCTGAAGAAGGTGGAGGGGCCCTAGAGTCCCTCCTGCAAGGCCTTCCCTCTCTCTACCAGGACAGGCTCAGCCTGAACACACTGGCCCGAATGACTCTGGCAGTCCCTGTTGGCGCTAATGATCTGTGGGGCTCTCCCAGCTACAAACTGTCACACTCACCCTAGTTAATCTGGATTCACTTCCTCTTTCTAGTTTCATTCCTAAGAATACCGTCCCTACCCCCAGTGGTTCCTCCTGCCAAGGCAGAATGCTCATCTGCAGTTACTGGACATGTGAGGGGCCCGGGACTTCTCCAGAGAAACAAACATGGAGACACTGATACAAACACAAATATGAACAGGAAATGTCCCTGGGTTCCTGACAATGTGGGGAAGCTAAAAGAGAATATTTTAAACAAGTGTCCTTAGCTTAACCGGTACCTTAGTTTTGCAACCCATGTCTTTTCATATGAAATGGTCAATTGTCCAAGAAAAATAATTTATGATTTGTTAGTACTGAATCTCATTACACTTCACTTAGAGGCCAATAAACAGAGAGTTTAAGGCCCTGATGTCCCGTGGACTTGAAACCTTACAATCAACATTTCCTCTGCCAGTTTTTTAGGCTGTAGGCACACAGCCATGATGGACGTGCAGCAAAATAAGGACTGAGCATCTGAACAGAATCTAATGTGCCAATCAAGTAAAAAAAGAACTCTATTTCAACATTTACTAATATGCACATTCACTTCTGTGCTGTGTAGGGATGAAAGAAAAGAAGCCACAAATGGAAGTCAGCTATGATCATGACTAAAAATACTATTCTTCTCTCATGGCCCAATCAAGGATCTTTCCAATGGCCAGGGGGGCTGAGCGGTAATAAGAGGACTTCAACAGTGTCTTCAGAGGCCCACTTCTCCCCGGTTTCACTTCTACACCCCTAATTAAGACCCTTCTAGCCTTCACCTGATCTCCCGCCTGTCTTACTCCCTTCCTGCACACAGTTACCAATCCCACCACACTTGCCAGTTAAAAAACCCACAATTCAAAAACCAAAAATAAGGTTTTCATATGATCCAGCAATTCCACTGCTAGATATACGCCCCAAAGAAAAGAAATCAGTATACCGAAGAGATACCTGCATCTCACGTTTACTGCAGCACTGTTCACAACAGCCAAGATTTGGAAGCAACCTAAGTGTCCATCAACAGACGACTGGATAAAGAAAATGTAGTCCATATACACAACAGAGTACTATCCAACCATAAAAAAGAATGAGACCCTGTCATCTGCAACAACATGAATGGACTGGAGGTCATTATGTTAAGTGAAATAAGCCAAGCACAGAAAGACAAACTTCACATGTTCTCACTCATTTCTGGGAGCTAAAAATTAAAACAATTGAACCTGTGAGTAGAATGACAGCTAAAAATTCAATTTAAATTAAAAATCAGAATAGGGGCTAAACATTACAACAATTGAACTTGTGAGTAGAATAGAGTGTAGAATGATGGTTACCAGAGACTGGGAAGGGTTGGGGATGTTAATGGGTAATCAATGGGCAGGGGACTTATTATATTTTATCTAACTATTAAAATATAGTTAGAATGAATAAGAATCAAATGCTAGTTATCTGATAACACAATAGGGTGATTAGAGTCAACAATAATTTATTGTACATTTAAAAATAACTAAAAGAGTATAAATGGAATGTCCGTAACACAAAGAAATGATAGATGTTTGAGGTGATGGATACCCGATTTGCCCCATTTGTAATTAGTTATTACACAATGTCTGCCTATCTCAGAATATCTCATGTACCCTATAAATAAAAATATCTACTATGTAACCATAAAAATATAAAAAATAAACCTACCATTCTCTTTTACTGCCTGCATAATAGTCTCAGCCCCCAGACTTGGCATTTGGCTCCTGCACAATCTGACCGTTCTATGCTTCAACCCAACTCTCAAACTTGCCAACCTGGCCCCTCGGCATGGTCCTGCACTAACTCCGCACCCTAACCATATCACCTCCACCTGTGCTGTGTGGAGATGAAACACAAGGAGCCACAAACGGAAATCAGCTATGAACATGACTAAAAATACTATTCTTTTCTCATGGCCCAATCAAAGATCTTTCCAATGGCCGGGGACCCTTGGTCCTGGGTCCATAGTGCTTCCACCTTCTCTCCACAAGTGGCTATGGAAAGGCATGATTCTGAATCCAGTTCTACTCCTATCTCCCTGAGAAGCCCTGGGCAAATTCTCACCAGTCTAAGTCTCAGTTTCCTCATCCTAAAATGGGGAAGACAGCATGTATTTTGTGGGGATGCTGTGAAGTGCCTTACACACATTCACCACAATCAATGGTAGCT